TGAAACACAAATTGTATCAAGACTTGCTAAACCACTTAATATTTTTATGGTGATATTGAGAAGCTTGAACATTTTAAAAACTAATTGGGAATATGTGTAGGCTATTTGTAATCTATGCATAAACTCTAACCTCTATTTCATTAAATTTGCATCTTGTGGTGCTATTTTGCCACCTTGAAGATTTACCACAGAGACTAGGATCAAGAATTCTTGAAGGATTCAGTTCAGTGTCAGCAAAGACTTTTGCAACTACATCCTCCTGTTAACCAATTTTGTAGATGCTGCTGTTGCTATTTCCTTTAAGGAAATTTTTGTTGTTGTTGTTGTTGTTTTTGAAAAAAATTGTTTTGTTTTAAAATACAGATTGGCAACTTGAATACTTTATCTAGATCTTTAACTGCATTTCTATGTAAACAATTTAAAAAGACGTATCTGAATTTAACTACATATTTACAGAGCCATTTGCTTTAAGATGTGACTAAAAGCTTACAAACACAACTAGGAAAAAGTCATAACACTTTAGATTTTGGAGGATAATTTTGAGTGTATAGAAGTGTATATATACATACATACAATTTTCTCTGCATGTGCTTAAAAGTTCAAACATCAGGAAAAGATTGCCTCCTAAGATACTAAATTACTTCCTTTGAGTAGTATTATAAAGATGAATGTTCTAAACCCCAAAGTATCACCAGTATAACTGCTATTTTAATATGGGTCTTATGTAACTTTGTGGAAAGGATAAGATTTCTACATTGCTACAAATCAGTTTTATTTTATCATCTTTTGCTCCTTCAAGAGATGTTAAGGATGTCCAGACAATCCACCCTGTTATAAAATAAGAATTGGTAAATTCAAATAGCAGTTAAAAGATTTAGGATAAATGAAGCAAGTTGAGAACTATTAATGATTTGGCTTTTATTAAGGATACTAGGGGAGTGATTTGTCTATCTAATTGAATAATACACATTACTATATTTTTCCAATATTTTATGCACCTAGTTTCTTCACTTGTTATCATATAATGCTCTTTCAGAATGTTCATGGATCTAGATCTGATAAAATTACCCTCCCTTTTTGTTTTTTATCTTTCCAAAGACAGGAAAAACCAAACTGTTTACTACTTTATACTTACACATTTACTACAACACTTTGTCTCTGACCACCAAAATGTATATTACCAACAATCAGTTTCCACCCACCACTAATCAGTTTTTCGTGAGACACCAATTGGGTGTCATGTAATTCAATTCATGTATAAGTTACACTGCAGATTGAGGTCTCAGTCCCACAGGATTGCCTCCCATTTCAGATGCCGCTCACGTGCACTAGGCTGTTACCTGTACTTCTGACCGGCTGCCTACAAACCCTGATTCCTGTGACTTCCTTCCCGGGTTTTGTTAATTTGGTAGGATAGCTCACAGAACTCAGGGAAACACTTTGCTTATATTTACTCATTAATTATAAAGAATATTACAAAACCATAAAACCCTAGGAGAAAATCTAGGCAATAACATTCAGGACATAGGCATGGTCAAAGAGTTCATGATGAAAATGCCAAAAGCAATTGCAACAAAAGCCAAAATTGACAAATGGGATCTAATTAAATTAAAGAGCTTCTGCACAGCAAAAGAAACTATCATTAGAATGAACAGGAAACCTACAGAATGGGAGAAAATTTTTGCAATCTACCCATCTGACAAAGGTCTAATATTTAGATTCTACAAGGAACTTAAACCAATTTACAAGATAAAAAACAACAACTTCATCAAAGAGTGCACAAAAGATATGAACAAGCACTTCTCAAAAGAAGACATTTATGCAGCCAACAAACATATGAAAAAAAATTCAACATCACTGATCATTAGAGAAATGGAAATCAAAACCACAATGAGGTACCATCTCACATCAGTCAGAATGGCGATTATAAAAAAGTCAAGAAACGATAGATACTGGCAAGGCTGTGGAGAAATAGGAACGCTTTTACACTGTTGATAGGAATGTAAATTAGTTCAACCATTGTGGCAGGCAGTGTGGTGATTCCTCAAGGATCTAGAACCAGAAATACCATTTAACCCAACAATCCCATTACTGGATATATACTCAAAGGAATATAAATCATTCTAATGTAAAGACACAAACTCCTCAATGATCTAAAACCAGAAATACCATTTAACCCAGCAATCCCAACAGAATATAAATTGTTCTAATATAAAGACACATGCACACATATGTTTATTGCAGCACTATTTACAATAGCAAAGACTTGGAACCAATGCAAATGCCCATCAATGACAGACTGGATAAGCAAAATGTGGCACATATACACCATGGAATACTATGCAGCCATAAAAAGGAATGAGATCATGTCCTTTGCAGGGATATGAATAAAGCTGGAAGCCATCATCCTTAGCAAACTAACACAAGCACAGAAAACCAAGCACTTTATGTTCTCACTCATAAGTGGGAGCTGAACAATGAGAACACATGGACACAGGGAAGGGAACAACACAAACCAGAGCCTGTTGCGGGGTCGGGGGTGAGGGGAGGGAACCTAGATAATGGGTTGATGGGTGCAGGAAACCACCATTGTACAAGTATACCTATGTAACAAGCCTGCATGTTCTACACACGTTTTGTGGAACTTAAAAAAAAATCTATATCTATATCTATATCTATATCTCTATATCTATCTATCTATCTATCTATCTATCTATCTATCTATCTATCTATCTTTCCTCTACAAAGTCAACTGATGAACAGCGAGGTGAGGAGATGGATAGGGCAAGGTATGTGGGAAGAGGAGTGGAGCTTCCATGCCCTCTCCTGGCATGCCTCCATATTGGACCTTCCGCATGCTCTGCAATACAGAAGCTCTCTAAATCCGTCCTTTTGGGTTGTGTGGGGGCTTCATTAGGTAGGCATCATTGGTTGTATCATTGACCACTGATGATCGTCTCAACTTTCAGTCACCTCAGCTCCCTGGAGGCTGAAAGGAAAATAGGACTGAAAGTTCCAACCCGTGATTACCCAGCAAGCTGCCTAGAAGCCCATCAGAATCTTCTGATTAGAACATCTCATAGGAGCATCTCAGAGCAAAAGATTCTCCTATCAGGAAATTCCAAGAGACTTAGAAGCTCTGTGTCAGAGACTACTATCACTCAGGAAATCACAGTCATGCACCACATAACAACACTTTGATCAATGATGCACCACATACAGGATAGTGGTCCCAAAATATTATAACACTATATTTTTACTATACATTTTCCATGTCTATACCCTCAAAGACTTACCATTGTGTTACAACTTGTTCCAGTATTCAGAGCAGTAACATGATGCACAAGTTTATAGCATAATCAATAGGCTATAGCATACAGCCTAGGTTTGTAGTAGGCTATGCCATCTAGGTTTGTGTAAATGTAGTCTATGGTGTTTGCACAATGACAAAATCACTTAATGACACATTTCTCAGACAATATCCTCAAAGTTAAGTGGCATATGACTGTATAAAGGTCTTACGAGTTTCTTGTCAGGAACTGGGGTCAAAGGCTAAATAGAACAAAAATTTCTGCTATCACCCCTGTCTATCGGGCTTCAGGAGCACTATGTTAGGAGCTGGGGAGGAGACAAAATACATATTTCTTACATTACAAGATCACACTCTTCAAGTGTTTTTGGTACTTAAACACTTGATGATCAGTTCCTTTATCCCAATGCCAATCTGCTTGTTTGGATATTCTTTACAATATTTGTTATTGTTTTTCACAACTTTTTTCCCTTCCACAAAATTTTGTTAGAATAGTATATATCCTTCCTCTTAGAAAGGATGCCATAGCCATAGACATCACTTACTCAATGCCTCTGTTCCAATTATATTCACAATAACATAAAATAAATTCAATACTTCTATCAAATTTAATAAAGCTTTTGAGAAAATGATTCCATGTGATAAAATTATGCTTAAATTAGAAAACTTGTCATACTAAGTCTAGAAAAACATTCATCATGTTAGAAAGCAGGAGGTAGTGGATGCAACATCAACTATAGAGGAAGGCCAGGATTTGAATACTTCTCTCATCTATATTCTTATATGCAGGACATTTTAAAAAGTAACATTCATCAAAGTGTTCTTCTGAGAATTATAGAAAATAAATATAAAGCACCTAGGATAACAACTAGCAGATGGTAATAGATATTAACAACTATTTCTATCATTAATTATTACAGAAGACTGAAATTTTTGAAGAGGGGAATCTATGATTCATTTATTGTTTCTTTTCTAAAAGCATGTTTTGAGATAGGGATCCTTTGCAGGAATTTTGTTAAAAGAAAACTCACAGTAAAAACCTCTAAAAGAATGAGAAAAGCAGCAGAGGTGAAATGGAGAAGATTCAGGTGTTTTCAAGCAAAGTTGTGCCACAGGGGTGGCCCTAAGTGCAAAGATTTTTATCTTTTTAATATTTATTTTATATTTTATATTTATTTATATGTACAACTATACTTATATATTTATTATTATTTATTATAAATATTAATTATTCGTTATATATTTATACTCATATTTTAATATAAATATTTATGAAATATATATTTATATATAAATATAAATATTTATGTTTACTTATATCCAAATACATCTGAGGAAGATTTACCCCCAATAGCCTAAGGGCAGTCTTCCAATGTGGGGTGTGAGCCATTAGCAGCAGAATCTGGGCCACAGGACTTGAGCGGGTAACCAGAAGTGACTGCTACAGTGACTCAACAAATTAGTCTCTGAATACATATCTCCTTAATTAAATATGATAGAAGCAGATTATATTTGCTATACCTCCAACTCTTTTGAGTGAGTGTGATGGTCCTTTTAGTATCTTATAGAAGTTAGCATATGGTTATGTACAAAATACGTGTTAAGTACTTAAAATTGATTGATTTACTTAATTCACAGATATGTAACATTTCTTATTTTTGCTATCTACGTGCATGTTTCAATCCAATAGGCCAGAACCTGTTTTGTGGACAAAGGATGGCGGAGAATTACCAGATCCTGACCGAATGGTTGTGAGTGGTAGGGAGCTAAACATTCTTTTCCTGAACAAAACGGATAATGGTACATATCGATGTGAAGCCACAAACACGATTGGCCAAAGCAGCGCAGAGTATGTTCTCATTGTGCATGGTGAGTACCTTTTTGAAAACATTATATGTGAAAGGATGCATAACTTGAAAAACTTTAAATATATCAAAATTTTAAGCACAGTAAACAAAATTGCACAGTTTCTTTTTATTTCAGAAGAACATCTCATAAGTATCTCCAAGATTTAATATTAATATATTCCCGGTCAGATTGATAAAATTAAAACATACATAAGTTTTTTCGTGAAAAGCTTTCTCAATTATAAATATACTTCTTATATGTTGGCTCATAAACTATATTAATGATCGTCTTTATTTCATTTTTATTTATTTATTTGTTTATTTTTGAAGGCAGAGTCTTGCTCTGTTGCCCAGGCTGGAGTGCAGTGGCGTGATCTCAGCTCACTGCAACCTCCACCTCCTGAGTTCAAGCGATTCTCATGCTTCACCTTCCCAGTAGCTGGGATTACAGGTGTGCACCACTATATTTTTAGTAGAGATGGGTTTTTGCCATGTTCACCAGACTTTTCTTGAACTCCTGGCTTCAAGCCATCAGCCTGCCTCGGCTTCCCAAAGTGCTGGAATTACAGGTGTGAGCCATCACACCTGGTTGATTGTCTTTAAATTCTATAAATAAATGCTTTCATTTATAATCCGGAATCATGGAAATTACATATCCTTTAAGCTAATTTTTGTTATATTATCATAAACATATACTTTATAACTTCTGTAATTTGGTTTCACAAAGAATGACAGTATGTCACTGAAATGCAGCAAAAATAGAAGTGTACAATATTAACAATAACTGCATTACTTTCATGTGAACAATAATTTAAAGTTCTTACAGACTTCTTGACTATACTTATCGCACAATTTGAGTACATATAACAAAATCGCAAAAAGAAATACGAGTCCCCATGAGTGAATACAATTTCTGTTTTTTCCAACTTTCAAATGACACAATGGGTTTTTCATAAGGTAGCTTCTTTTAGATATTGTTAGATGGAGATGAATTTTTATGAGATTGATGAATATTGCAATAAATAAATTAGTCAGGTTTCTTTACTGCAGTACTCCTCAGACTTTATTGTATATGTCACGGTGCATTGTGAATCTCCACTAGGAAGAGCCATTAGCCAATGTAAGATTTCCATCATATTTCACCAAGAAAAGTTTCCTGGGACTAGTATTACATTCAACATAATATTACAGTATACTAAATGAGTATTGTATATAACACAGCGCTGTCGCAAATCCTGAATCTTAGAAACGATGGACAAAATATGTTTATTTGACATCTTTCCCTTAAATCCACATATGGAATACTGAAAGAAGTACGTGTTTGTTCCATACCTTTCCAAAAAGAATTTTGGGGGTCTAGTCTATTTCTTTGTAAAGAGATTAATTTTAAGGAAAAAATAATTAAATGCGTGTTATTTTTCATAGATGTTCATTTTGTTCATTTTGCCAAAGTTGGAAAAAATTGATATTTTCAGTCAATATACAGTTTTCCTATTTTCAAATTGTATTATTGTATAAGATCTCTCAGTACTTAATACCGCTCTGCTATGGTAAGCAACGAAAGGCTCACAGTGAATAGGCTATTCGTGTAAAACATCCAGAAAATAGTGGAACTAACAGTTTAATTTCTAGCCCTTCATGAATTGTACAAAATTCAACTTTGGAAAAATTAGCCTAATCCAATTAGACTGGTAAATTGGATTTAAATGTGGTAATCCCTGTAGACAAACCCTGCTGGCCTTTCTGCCAGAGAGAATGTTACAACCACCGGGTGTGTCAGGAAAGTAAGTCAGATCCTTAGAGCAGGATCCAAGAGTAGATTTCAGTTGATGCTCCCTGGATGTTTAGATCATGCAGTCATATAGGGAAAGTGTAGTCTATATGATTCACCTTAATTTTCCAAGTGCTTCTCTCACCTAACAGTTTCTGAGAACCTGGGGACGTGTTGTAGACCATGTCACATTGTGTCAAAATCTATATGACATAAAATATTGAGAATTAGAAGAGAAGTGACAGAAAAAAATATACCAAAATGAAAAGTATATCATTTTTTAAAAGTAGTTCAAGTCAGGAAAATTCATATATCTTCTCAGTGTTTGCAAGCTAGCCAACAGCATGATTTCCTAAACAGCCAAGCTACCTTCAAGTAGTTGGCAGTTGACATGTTTCTAATAAATACTTCCCTAAGCACTTTGTGAGAAGTCATTTTTGGCTTTGCTTTTTGAACTACAATTCATCAAAAGCACCCCATAGATTAATGCTATTCATGCTGCTAGATAAATGCTGTGAAGTTCAACAGTGGTTTACCTAGGGTTATTGACACAAGTAATGAGAGGCTCAATGAAACAGTGAAACCATATTATGCTGTGTTTAAAAGGGGCACCAGTTGGGTTCATTGCAAAATAAAGGTTTTTTCCCCTTTGCACACTGGGTATAATGTTTCATTAGTCACTAGTTGTATAAATATAAAAAGCTACTCTCTTCGGTTAATGGTTTGGCTGTTTCAAAACCATACTAAATGATGAAATTTGAGTGGCATTTCGATCTATAATGAATGCTGTATGCATTTTGGAATGGAGCGATAAGTGATCATTTGTGAGAACTTTACCCTTTTATCTTTTATACCAAGGTTGATTTTACATTAGTGGGGATAATTGAATACAGCTCCAGTACAGAGGGTTTTTCATGAGCTGCGACCTGTGTCTTTGACTCCACCACAATTGCCTAGATGCTATTGATTCTTAACTTGATGGAGGTCTGAGCACTTTCCTGTGAAATCATCTACTATCTGGATGCCATCTTAATAGTTAGATTTTATTGTTTGGGTGTCAATGGAAGCACATGATTTAAACGCTACCACATTTAATTGTTAAAACCACTGACATTTTGTGTTAGAGACACTGGTGATTCCTCCACTCCCTCCTAATTACACCTTTAAAAGTTTCAGCATTAGGACCACATGTAGTAATTTAAAACTGCCAGTCTAAAATTTATCCTCAATGAAAGGCCTAACCAGAGTCACCACACTAATACCTGTAAGATTAAACATCATGCTTATGAAACATTTGCACTGTGGAAGTTCCATTCAGAAAGAAAGTAGCACATTTTATGAACAAGCTTGGCAATGGAAAAATTTATCTGTTAAATTAGCCGCCATAATTATACTAATTAATTCCTCTAAGCACGGTAGTTTCGATTTGCTTCTTTATCAAAATATCGAAGTATATCTCTTGTGATTATTGTTGTCATACTATTTATTTATTTACAACGGATGATTATATTCCTAGTTTTAATGGCTTTGAATATCTTGACCCATTGCTATTCTTAACATTTGAAGAACTAGGATCAAGAGAAAAATTAATTCACTCACTCAATAGATATTTAGTACTTATCTACCAGGTGCAAAGGAGCAAATGTAAATAACAAACACGAAGATTATAGTTTAGTGTGGAAGATAAGCTAAGCATTTGGATAATTGTAACACAAAATAGAAGAGTTATAGGGAGCTATAGGAAGATGGTCATACAATGTGGTAGATGTTCACAATCTGTGTAGTTCCAACCGTATGGAATGTTTAAAACTAGTAACATATCACCAATATTTATAAATATTATAAATATAATTATAATAAATATTTAAAGTAATATAAACATTATGATAAATATTATAAATTAATAAATTCATTTATAATACGACATACATTGTAAATAGAATTACTCAGCAAAGTGCCAGCTATACGGATATATGATACATTAGACTATTCTTCTTATTATATTTCTAGTAGTCTTATTATACCAAGGGCAATCAAACTCCAAGGCTCTGGTAAGAAACTTGCCCATGAGTTGCATACAGTTATTGCTCATAATCTTCCCTGAAAGCTACCCAGAACATAAATTAGGTTAATGCTATTGAAAAATGAGAAAATTCTAAATTTTCGTATGAGATAGAAAATGTCTTAAAACTCAGCAATATAACAAATTGACCATGTACAAAGCAAGACATAAGTTATAGTCACCCTTGTTCTCTGACGCAACATTAAGTTCAGAGAATATAGGCTGAATATCTCATCTTCAAGCAGAAACTACCCGGATCTGCATCCATTCACTGTAGGGGACATAGCAGATGATACCATCTTACCATGCAAGGAATGGATATAGGGAATGACCAATGGTACTGTAGTATTTCTATTTTGTGATTGGAAGCAATGTATGTTCTTCTATTTATCATCAATTGATTAAAAATACACTCCTAAAAGTGTCAGAAATGTACAGCACCAGGGAAGCTTTGAGAAAGAACATCTATGGAAAGTGAGAAATGTGAATTACCACATACTCCAAACCCTAAACTTCTTCCCTCTTAACTTTCCCAATGTCTCTTTTACCTCTCTTTAAACTCATCAGAGAAATTAATAACCACTCCTCAGAATACAAATGGGAAATGGACAGAGATGCTGCAACTCTTTAATGTCACCTCCATGCTCAAAACCTTCCCGAGGATCTGGGAAGAAATACAGTAATACCAGCAGAAAAATTAGTAACTAATTTCTCCTTCTACCAATAGCTATACTATCAATAGCAGGTCCAGATTGTAGACAAGGATAGCAAAGATAATGATTAGACTTTGGAGGAGAAATCATGTTATCTCACAGTTATAGCAGAGTTGAGATGCACTATTCAAAAAAATTTTTGTAATATTCCCCCTTCCTTTCCAAATTTACTTTTCCTTTTACCATAGTAACCCTACATGAGTGTTAAAATTATTTTACCACTGTGCTAACTTATTCCCTTACTTCATTATTTTCTCCTTGTACAAGTAAGTTTTATAACAATTCATCACTCCTTTATTATCTTAACTCTTGCTATCATTTAGAATGAAATTGCCCACTATGCACCTTTCCACAGATTTTTTTTCTTTACATGTATGTATTTTGCGTTTCTAGCAAATTTTATCTTTACAACCCTGTAAGATAAGTACAATCTCTATAATTAGGATTATGATACTATATAGTAAATTTGAATCAAG